CAACGATGTCCCTTGAGCCAATAAGATTCTCTCCTGAGGTAGTGGCCAGTCCTATTGGCTGCTTGACTCAGTGAGTGAATGTAGCTAGAAATTCAAGTTATCGATTGTTTGTCTAGCTCGAAGTGTTAGCTCGCGCATAGACCGATCGATAGCCTATTGTGGGCGCGGCTATGGTTTGCAAACTACTGCTTGCGAAGGCTGTTGTTAGGCCGCCCTAATAAGGTGGTCCTGCACGTCGGTCGCCGTGACCCTGTAGTGCTCTAGACATTCGAATCACTGAGACAAGGGCCCTTCGTGAGCGGACTGTCAAGATGTGCACCAATTCCAAAAACGGCAGGCTAACATAACTCTGATTAATACCCCTCCTTTTAGCATATCGTGACGCATTGGTAAATAATTCATACCATTAAACTCAAAGCTTAATTTAGAACCTTGTTCGATAGTACGGGCGGAAAGAATCTCCTCGGCTGACAACATAGAAGGAGAGCTCAAGTTTGTAAAAATAAGTTTTTGACAAGACGGTTATGCAGATCGAAGTATTGCTAAGAGCAGGGTCGAAAGACTACGAAAGAGCATGAGACTTACAGCAGGGGCCAAACGACTTTTAATCCGTATTCAAGGAGAAGCACAAGGTGAAGTTTTAAGAAGGCACCTAAGTTAATTAGTATCTGGCCCATTTCCAGTAGCTGACTCCAGTAGACGGTTTTCGACTACCTCCGTCCTTTGCAAAGAGGGAAAGGACAAATCGCCAGCTTCGGTATGCACTTATTCTTCTACTTGCTCGTGTGTGACAGAAACTATTGGTCACATATGTCGGCCTTTTCACAGAAGAATAAGATAACACCATCTAGCATGAGAAAAAAAGCGTCGAACATACTAAACACAGACCAACGCGTAGATGACAGAGTGGCCTTCCGGGTGATTTAGAAGGTCACCCGGGCTTTTCGAAATAGCGCGGAGAGGGTCTTTTGGCAATGACAGAGGCGACTGCAATCAGATTATGCAAACCGACCTTAGACACACAGAAGACGTGTGTACAAGTGTTGCAGCTACCATGGCCCAGAGCCACTGATTCGACCGCCCAGATCGAATTATCTCTACCGGTGACCACCATCCCCCCTGACGCTGATCAGAAAATAATGACTGTAATTTGGTTTTGCCCTTTCCTCTTCTTCAGCAACGGCAGGATATTTTTCTACTTGCTTGCATATTTTCCTTATTTACATAAAAATATGAATGAAGGCCAAATTGTCTTTTGAATAACTCTTTTCCTTTACCTACGGAAAGATCCGACCAGTGGCAGCAGCACCAGCGAAAGTACGTTGGCCAATCTAGAACCTCACAAATTGAAGCAGCGCATTTCAAGGGCCTTCCTATGTCTACAGCGAGCCATCGAGTTCACTCGCAGGAGCTCTGGC